GTCGTTCACATCAGCACTACCACAGTTTATAGTCAAATTAATCAGGTTTTTATTAAAAAAATTTTACTGAAAAAAATACTACACCTTTATGTGTTGATAGCTTTTGAAATATATGAAAAATAAATGAAAAGTTTAATATTTTAAAAAGATTCGTATTTATAATAGAAATAATTTTATTTAATAATCAATCTTTTGTTCAGAAAAAGTAAAGGGAATTTTATATATATATATATTCATTATAAAATTATTACACATTTTTTACACTGACTTCACAATCAAATATCTATATAATAGTAATACATTTATTATATGAAAAAATAAAAGAGAAAACTTGTTCGTTTTAAATAAACTCTATGTATATGTAGGTATGTGGCTTTATTCATATTAAAAAAAAGGATTACACGAAACATATTTTTAACTTTTGCCTGGATTTTAACTTTTTTTTTTTTTATTTGATCATGAAGAAAAAAGAATTTAATTTAAAAGTTCACCGCTTTGTTATATTACCACAAAGTATGGATTAAAAATTTTCAACAGTAAATTTTATATAAAAAAATTTTTTTTTTTAAATTGTTTTCATATTTAAATTTTATTAATAATAATTAATTAAAAATAGTTTGTAAATAATAGAAAGTTATAGAAAAAAACGTTTTTTCAGTTTTATTCTTTGTTGTTAGTAAATTAATTATTTTTAACTATAAATCAAATATACAAAGAGTTAATATTAATTAGTTCCGTTTTTTTTTACAATCTACCTTGCTTTAATTAATTAATTTTACATAATGCTAATGAAAAGGGCTTTTGATTAATAATTTACGTAAATATTTTAATAAATAAAAAGGACATTAACTTGTGATTGATCACAAATAAATAAAAGACGTGATTTTATAATCGATACATATATTTAAACAGTATTTACGTCAATAGATTATTTTTACAATACTTTTTTTCTTTCTCTCTCTCTCTTTCTTTCTTCCTTTCTTATTCTCTTTTACTCATTTTCGTTCTCTCGCTTTCTCTCTCATTTCATTTCATGAAACTCATCTCTACATTATGGTATGTTATCGATTATGAATATTATTTACAAATGCAATCCAATTTCCGTCCTATAACTGTATGATAAATCAGTGATGTTCACCACTTTGATGGACATATGGAGCACTTGAAATAAATATATAATAATTATCAGTTATTTAATATTTATGCCGATTTTCATTTTATCTAAAATTTGTTATTATATAATATTCGACGAACTTTAATTTAACGAAAAAAAAAATAAATTAGCATTATTTCATGTAGCTCTGCATGTCCAACACAGTAATGATTATAAAATATTCGTTTTCTTTTTTCTTTAAATAAGATTCATTTTTCTTTTGATAAGAATTAATATATGAATCTTAGCGCTTATATTAAAAAAGTCTCATTTGACGAATAATAATTATATTATAATAATAATAAAAATGATAATAACAATAATAATAATAACAACAATAATAATTATATGTGTCGAGCTTCGAAGAAAGGTACCCAAGAAGCAAAAAATTGTAGGTTATATTTAGAAATTTTTAAGTAAAATTAAACAAAGGGAATTAACTCTTAATTTATACAAATCATTTATATTTACGTCTTCGTTACAAAATACTCAATAAAAAACTAATTTCGATTTTATATATAAATAAAAAGGAATATATAATCAAGGTAAAACTGTAGTAAACATAACCTATAATTCGTTTGCTTCTTAGGTATATTTCTTCGGAGCGCGCCTCAAATAATAATAATAAAAATAATACTGAAAAAGGAACACAATTTTCAGTTTGATTTTATACAGTCTGATTTGTTAAAAGACACAGTTTTGTTCAAAACGCGTAAATTTTTGATGCATCATTAACTATTATTAATATTGTATATTAAAATGTATAATATAATTTTGTTTTATATTGCGCCATTTCTATATCTTCTATTTACAATCTGTGCTGGATTAAAATTTTCTTTTTTGAATTTAATGAAAATTTATACTAAATTTCTTATTTAAATGGTAGTAGAAAAAATTAGTTTAAGAAAAAATTTATTACTTTTTTTTTTCTTGGAACCCATGAATTTTCTCCACATAGACCTGTCGAAATTTTTGTGGTGTCGTCAGAATTAAAAATAATCGATTTTTTTTTTTTAAATTATTGTTTGAATATTTAAAACTCAAGAAATGACAAAAATTTGACGAATATTGAGAGTTCTTAAAAAAAAAATGAATTTCATCAATAATTTTTATTCTGAATATTCAGAAAGTAGAATAAAATTGAAAAAAGAACAAATTTTATTTTTAGAAAATAATTATTAAAAAATTTTAATCAGTTTACTTATCTAGTAAAATTATATAATAATAAAATGCTTGGTCTGTCCTTCTGTCCTAACTTGAAGTTGGCCTTTTCTGATTTCACGTGTTTTTTTGAATAGTAATCTTATGACGTGTCAAATTTTAAAATTTCAAATTTGAAAATTCAATTCACGAAGCTGAAATACACAATGTTTACCAACGAAATTTTTTTTAAAGTTGTATATTGATTCAAAAATTGTTGATACAAATACAAAAAATTTATGATGAGAAAAAAGATGCGCCAGGAAATTTCGTACAAGATAGTAATTTGAAAAAAATTTATTTTTAAGGTACCAGGGGCCAACGAATACCTATTAAATATTAATTATAAAAACACAGGCCTCGAATCAACTTAAAGACACAAAAAGTCGTTTTAGTCGATTTATATTCCAAAAAAAAGTGGATTTGTTTTTTATTTTAACAAAAATATTTTACAGATTTTTAAATAAAATTTTTTTTTTTTTTAATAATAATCCTTTTCGAAGGGTTAAAATTGAAATTTTTAGAAATAATTAAATTTCAAAGATATTGTTAATTTTCAAACAATTATTAAATTTTCCAGAACTGAAAATAATTTATCAAACAATTTTTGGAAAACATTTTTTAAATTTAATTGAATTTTCAAAGATTTAAAATTGAGATTTTTGAAATTAATTGAAACTTTAAGTGTTTGGTAATTAAAATTTTAGATGATTTCACTAAAAATTTATTAGAAAATGCGGACAAAATACAATAATTTGAAAATCATTTTTAATTGAAAAATGGTTTCAGATAGTTGAAATTTCAAAGAATATTATTAAAATAGTTAAAAATAATTAAATTTCCTTAGAGTTATAATTGAAATTATTAAATTTCAAAAAAAAATTTTCGATGGAAAATTTTAGAAATAATTAAATTTTAGATGCTTTTAAATTCAAATTATTGAAAGTTCAATTAATTTTGAATTCAAATTTTTGAGAATAATGAAATTTTATTTGATTTTAAATTTGGTAAATAATTGAATTTCAGTTCATTTTGAATTAAAAATTTTGGGAAATAATTGAATTTTAATTGAAATTTTGGATAAAAATTTAATTTAAGTTCATTTTTGATTGAAAATTTGGATAATTAATTTTGAATAGAAATTTATTTAGAAATTAATTGAATTTTATTTCATTTTAAATTGAAAACTTGGTAAATAATTAAATTTTAAATTGAAAATTTTGGATAATTATTGGATTTTTAATTGATTTTGAATTAAAATTTCGGGTAATAATTGAATTTTAGTTTATTTTGAATTGAAATTTTTAAAAATTCATTCAATTTTATTGTGATATTTTTTTTTTAAATTATAAACAATTGTTAAATTGCATAAAAATTTTAATTGAAAAATAATTTTGATATAATTGAATTTGTGATGTATTTAATTAAAATTATTAAAAATAATTAATTTAGTGAAGAATCATTTTAGTTCAAAATTTGTTAAATAATTGAATTGAAGAAGATCTGAAGAAGATATAAATTTTATACTAAAAAAATGTATTTTATTTACTTTTTTTTTAAAATGTAAAAAAAAATGTCGCATTTTATTAAAATAAGTCGATAAAAGTCGTATTTTTGAAAAAAGTCGGAAAAAGTCGTATAATCCGAGGCCTGTAAACATATAATTTTCATTATTATCATTTAATATGTAATAATATTCTAATAAATTAAATTATTATTGATAATATTAATCTTTAATTTCTTTATAACAAACAATGAAACACTCAATTTGGCGCGCTTGCGCGCGTTTAATTTTGCTATTTTGAATATAAAGTGTAGTTTTCAATTTCAATTGTGCTTTCTAGGGTTAACATTAAATTTTAATTAAGAAAATTTCTATTGAACCTAATTTTTATTCAATAGAATAACTGTTTTTTTTTTTTTGTTATTGAACATAAATTTTATTAGAATTTCTATTAAATAAAAATTTGGTTGAATGGAAATTTTGTTTGAAAAAAATTTAAAAAAAAAAAAAATTTTTATATAAAATCTTAATATAAGAATTTTGTTGAATAAAAATTCTGTTAAATAAAAATTTAGTTAAATGAAAATTCAGTTAATGAAAATACTGTTAAGTAAATATTCGAATAAATATAAATTCGAAAAAAGAAGAATTCGAATTTTGATAGTCATAAATTCTGTTAAATGGAAATTGTATTTGAAAATTCAATGTATTAAAAAATTTGTATGAAATTGTATTAAATTAGAATTCAGTAATAAAAATTATAATTTATAATAATTTTATAATAAAAAAGTTAAAAATTCTAAATTTTTCTAATAAAAATTCGATAATTTTTAATTTGACACCATTAAAATTCTGACATTGTCATATTTATTCGTTCCTTTTTCTTTATTGTAATTCTATTCAATATGTTGATCATTTAAATTTTTTTACTTATCAAAGTAAAGAATTAATTATTTTAAAAATGCATAATTTGAGTGTTAAAATATTTATATACAATTTCATTTTACTATTGGAATATTTAATTATTTAAAGAATTATAATACAAAGTGTAAAAAACACTTGAAGCTATAAATAAAAAGAATTATTATCATTATCTAAAATGTATGAATCCAATTACGATTTAGAACAAAACTGTGTGTTTTTTTTTTGTTTCTGTACATTCATTTATATTATATTTATATTTTTATATATATATATTTATATATAAATTATATTAAATTTAAACAGACTTAAAATGTTAAAACGTTTCGCTTTTGAAATTGATTTTCACGATTCGTATTAGAACTTTTTTTTTTTTGTTTTTTTTTTCTTGAGCCATTGAATATATATTTATATTTATAATTCTGTACATCAGGCTCATTTGTTGATATTCTTTATATGTACAAAGATTCATAATCTTATAATAAATGTTACCTACGAGTATTATCATGTTCTGGCGAAAGGTGCATTATGAGCTCGTTTCTCACACCCACTTTTTTTTAACGATATTACGATGTCATTTATCCTTATATAATAAAACAAAAAAGAAAAAACCCCCAAACAATTTTTAATCAGTATATAATTTACTGATTTTATAAATATAAAATTGGGAAAAAAGTAATTTTTAAAAAATATTTAATAAATTTTTTTTTTTGTTTCTTTAATTCTACCAGTATTCTACATTGCTTTTTAAAACAGTCAAAAATTTTCATCTCTAAAATTGTGTTAATTTACATCAGTGTATTGTGAAATAATAATACGTTTCTTACAAAAAGTATTTTTTTTTTTAATTCGCAAAAATGTTTTCGAATTATTTTCATTCACTTAATAATAATTATTTTCATTTTGCACTCACACCTGTACAAATTGTCGGGTTTCTCGTTTGAATAATAATATTTTAGTTTGAAGAAGGTACAAGAACCATTTTTGGAATTTCGTTGATATTAACACTTAAAAAAGTCACTTTTACTCACACAGATTTGTCTATGATTCTATGGAATTTTTTTTTCATATCCAAGTCTTACATCAACGTTTTTGTGATGGGTTTTTTTTTTTTATTGAGTTGTCCATTTTAATTAAATATTGTTTTTGATTGTAGAATCAAAAGATTTTTTCGTAATTTTTTTTTTTTTTTTTTTTTAATATATAATTAGGTAACTTTCTTGAAATTTGTCGTATTATCGCAGAGAGACTGCTCACCTCAGTAAATTTGCCACTAAGAGGGTTAAAGTTGCTAGAAGGATTGTTGGAGCCACACCACAACTACCACCATGCTGCATTGCTGCTGGATGCTCACCTGTAATCACAAAATGGCACCATTAATAATTCCAATAGACATTCAAAGCCATTATAAAGATGAATTATTACTCTAATAAAATTCTCGTGTGTTATTATTACAAAATACGCACGAGACTCTTTTTTTTCCCCTCTAAAATGTAATTTAAAAAATTTCTATTATTCATTTTGTTTATTTTAACAAAAACAAAAGTTTTGCATTTTTTTTTTCATTTTGCTGTTAATTTTTTAATGACTCTTTTAGAAAAATAAAATAAATGTTAAAAATTTCAGGAAAGAATAAATACTTTTTAATGTTCTCGCGACAACTCGCATTTCACATGTAAAATTTCATAAAAATCCGCAGCAACTTATTTCCATAAATGCGCACACATTTTTTTCTCTGCATATTGCGAGAAATTAAATTGGGACAATAAAGAAAAGTGGATGTTATATATGTGCGGTAGAATTTAATTTAAATAAAAGCTTTAAATTCTTAAAGTTTTTTTTTTTTTTAAAAGAAGGCTAAAATTTAATTGTAAAGACAGAGATATTAATTTTATATCTAAACAAATTTTTTCAGAGACAAATGTACTTTCTTTTAGAAACTAAATAAGATGGAAAATTTAAATCATTTTTTTAAGCAAATTTAAAAAATGATTTTATTCCTTAATTCTTAGTTTCATAAAATAAATTGGAATTATAATATATTTTATGCAACGCTTTATGTAAATGACAAACTTCAAGTTACTCAAAATGATTCTGGTCGGAATTTCAGTTTTTTAGGTTGGCATCATTTGCCGAGTTTATCTGTTTTATTTTGAATTACATTTTAAGAAAGATGGTGACTGTCACATAACCTTAAACTAAAAAATAGTTTTTAACTCAACCAAAAATATTAGAAAAATTAAATATCCAAAAAAATTATTTGGTCAAGTATAAGTCCCCAAATTTAACAAATTAATTTTTTTTAATTTTTAATAAAAAAAAAATTTTTAAATTAATTTTTTCGCCATTGACATGAAAAAGTGTCTTTTTTGTGCCTGTTTTGGGCAGATAAAGTATCACTTTTTAAGGCAGTTTGGGCCAACTGCCTAAAAAAGACTTTTTTAGGCAGAAAACTGCCCTATAAAGTCTTTTTTAGGCAGTTGTTAATTTTTGCATAATTTTTGTTTTGCTTTTATTTTATTTATCAATTTTTATTATTTATTAAACTGATTCAGTTTCAAACAAAACAAAAATGATCTTATAAGCCGTTTATCACAATTTTTTTGTATTTTATAATAATTCTGCAATAAAGTATTAATATGCAAGTGAGAAATCTATATTGGTAAGTTTGAGGTTATGTATTCTTTGGAAATTAAAAAAAATTTTACCATAATAATGTAAAAGAAATTTTTTGTTATAATTCATATAAATTAGTGTCCTCAGTTTCAATATTAAAATTATCAGATAAATAGTTTATTTTTTTACATATTTTGATTATAAAAATATTAATGTAGGCAAAATTTTATGTCAATCTGATTTTCTACATAAGATTAATTTTATTGTTTTACAGTTTTTATTATCTGAAGAGACACAGGATTGATGGGCGAAATTTTTTTATATGTAAAATTTAAAATAAAAAGTAATTATTTACGTAAAAAATTCGATAAACAAAAATTTTAATTAAAAAATTTTTCGATATTAACATTATGCTTATTATAAAATCTACTTTTATAAATATTAAATTATCAAATAAATAGTTTCCTTTTTACATATTTTGATTATAAATACCTATTAATATAGACAAAATTTTATGTCAATATCATTTTCTATATAAAATTAATTTATTTTTACAGTTTTTATTATTTGAAGAGGCCCAAGGTTGGTGGGCGAATATATGTAAAATTAGAAAAATAAATTAATTACCATACAAAATTAAAGTTACATTGCACTAATCATACAAAAATCAGTCTAATAATTAATATTTCAGAAAATTTTCATTGCAATTTTTTTAGGAAATTTATATAAGTAACTTCCAGGAAGTTTCTAAATTTTAACTTTAAACAACAAAGACATTTAGAGCTCTCAGGAAGTTTACAGTGTAAAGTTCCGAACTTCACAGTGTTAACTTCCTGTTAGCTTCCTGGAAAGATTAGTGCTATTTGGGAAGACATAAGAAAATACCCTAGAAAAGTGTCATAAATAAAAATAAAAATTAATAGCCTTTTGATGACTTTTAATTAAAAAAAAAAAAAAATTTTGAATTAATTTTTAATTAAGTTTTTTTCCACATTAGTGAATAATGCATAAAAATTGAATTATTACCTATTAAAGGCACATTTCTTGAGAATTCGAACTTTCAGAAATTCTGATTGTAATGATTTTATATATATATATATATATATATATGTGTGAACAGTATCAAAATGTCCATCAGTTTTATGAAACTTTTGTGTTAAAGTGTTGAAACTATCAGAGTTTATGATGCGCGTGATAAAACATCTACTAAGTGTCAGGTCACTGTTTTATAATTTTATGTTATGAGTTACGAGGACGTTCCCATAGAACTTGTGTGTTTGGAAAATTCATGAGAAGAGAAAAGTGTCTTGTCAGAGTAACAACATTGCATATTATATATCCCTTTCGCAACGTAAATCATCGTCAATTTTGCTTGGAATTACACCTGGCGCGCAAGTTTTATATGTTACATATATGTATAAAAACTTTGCTTCTTTTAAATTTCACGAAATCATTTTTTTATAAATTTCTTCATCTCTCATCGTCTACTTATTTCATTTGTCACGAATACACTCTATCTTTGTCCCTCTCTACAATAGATTATAAACAATTCATTTATACAACATACAATCTTATCAATTTTCAATTGAAAAAAGAAAAAAATATTGTGCACAGTTTTCTTGTGTGTATCAAATTGATACAAGAATTAAGATCAACTCATGCAACATTTTGATTCGATATAAGGTATCAAATTGATCCAAATATCTGGATCATTTTCAAGAAATGATCCAGAATATGGGATCATTTTTTGATACCTGAATTGGTATCAAAGTACAACTGTCATTGCTGGCATGCTCTTATTGACAAGTTTATTAATTAATTTATTCACTACACTGAATATTAAGATATTAAAAATACTTTTATTATGAATTTTAAGAAAGAGAGAAGCAAAAACTTATAAATTGCGAGCAATTAAATAAGAAAAAATTTATTTCGAAATAAAATGAAATACACTAACCTTTATTTATGTTCATCAAGGTGCTTATATACCTCAAATTTTGATCAGATGAACATTATTTCTGGACCGTGAAAATGCGTGAAAAGTCATTTTCACGGCGGGTATTTTTGAATTGTTTTAAACAAAAAATGTTTTTTTAAGAAATATAATATTAAATAATTGTTTTAATATGTAAGAACACTTTAAAATAGTGATAGAGAGATGATTTGATTAAAAAATTTAGCAAATTTTGCTTTAAAACGTTTTCTGCTACAAGAAAGTGTAAAATGACGATGTTTGTGAAATGGTTTGTACAGTGCTTCTTCCTTGTGAGTGTCTCTCAGAGTTTTGTTTATGTTATGTCGTTTCTTTTTAACTTGTAATAAATAATGAGTGCTGAAAATAAATCGGTAAGTTGAAATGTTTATCAAATAAATTTAAATTCTACTAATTGTTTCGAATAACTGAAAGAAACATGTACACATGTACACTGTACAAACCATTTCACAAACATCGTCATTTTACACTTTCTTGTAGCAGAAAACGTTTTAAAGCAAAATTTGCTAAATTTTTTAATCAAATCATCTCTCTATCACTATTTTAAAGTGTTCTTACATATTAAAACAATTATTTAATATTATATTTCTTAAAAAAACATTTTTTGTTTAAAACAATTCAAAAATACCCGCTGTGAAAATGACTTTTCACGCATTTTCACGGTCCAGAAATAATGTTCATCTGATCAAAATTTGAGGTATATAAGCACCTTTACATAAGATTTAAGTTAAGTTCACAATCACAACACTTGAAAATTTTTAATTATTTTTATGGTTCAAATAATTATCAATAATTTATTTATTATAAATGAACAAAATTTAAGCAAAGCACGCTTGATAAATATTTCTAATGCGATGTCAATTAATGCAATTAATAATTTCCTATTACACAATATCATAATCGACATATATGACATTTGTAAACAAACAGGGTTGGGAAACAAGAGCCCAAAATATGTTCGTCCAAAGCGAATTTCAATCCTACCCAACTCTGCTTTGGACGAACATATTTTGGGCTCTTGTTTCCCAACCCTGTTTGTTTACAAATGTCATATATGTCGATTATGATATTGTGTAATAGGAAATTATTAATTGCATTAATTGACAACGCATTATAAATATTTATAAAGCGTGCTTTGCTTAAATTTTGTTCATTTATAATAAATAAATTATTGATAATTATTTGAACCAGAAAAATAATTAAAAATTTTCAAGTGTTGTGATTGTGAACTTAACTTAAATCTTATGTGATAAATATAAATAAAGGTTAGTGTATTTCATTTTATTTCGAAATAAATTTTTTCTTATTAATTTAATTGCTCGCAATTTATAAGTTTTCGCTTCTCTCTTTCTTAAAATTCATAATAAAAGTATTTTTAATATCTTAATATTCAGTGTAGTGAATAAATTAATTAATAAACTTGTCAATAAGAGCATGCCAGCCATGACAGTTATACTTTGATTCCAATTCGGGTATCAAAAAAAGATCCCATATTCTGGATCATTTCTTGAAAATGATTCAAATATTTGGATCAATTTGATACCTTATATCGAAACAAAACGTTGCATTCCAAAATGATACCATCAAGTTTAGAGTGTGTTTTATAAAAATATTGTTGTTGAAATTTTAATTCTGATTTTAAGTAACACTGTTACTTTCAGGATTTTGTGAAACATTTTGTATGTTTTTTTTCAATCCCAAAAAACACTTTTTTCGAAAAACAAATTTTTAACCCCCTTTTTTTC